CCTGTTCTTCCTCCCACCTATCCCCTCCTCCCACCTCAAGCCGCACCTCCATCTCCTACCGACCAACCTCATCCCGCCCCCTTGACCTGTCCGTCCTCCCTGGACTGACCTATCCCCTTCCTAACTCCCTACCTACACTCACCTTTCCTGGCTCCATCCCTGCCTCTTCGACCTGTTTGTTTCCTCTCCACCTATCCTCTCCTCTATCCCTCTTCTCTCCGCCTCCCACTCTCTCCCTGTTTATTTCAAAACCCCCTTCCCCTCCCCCTTTTCTGATGAAGGGTCTAGGCCCGAAACGTCAGCCTCTCTGCTCCTATGATGCTGCTTGGCCTGCTGTGTTCATCCAGCCCTGCACCTTGTTGTCTAAGATCAGACTCTATTGTTTAGCAGGGAAGTTAAGAGTACAAACCACCTCAAGATGATATATGCAGCATATTAGGAAGAAATTGCATCTAGACATCAATATTTAGAATAATGCAAAAATGAATTACATTCAAGTACAGCCATTGTTATTGTGTAAGCATAAATAGCACATAGCAAGATGTAGACAAATGACCAATTTGAATAAAATATTGCAGATGCTGGAAACCTGAAACAAAAACGTAAAATGCCAGCAGGCCTCGTAGCTTCTGTGGAGACAATATTTTCAGATATGAACAATTTACCAAGAGAAATTTAAGCAAAATCGGAACTTGGCAAGTTTAGGTGATTTGTTTTCTGGTGGAGCTCCATGATTATGAAGTGTTGAATGTTTACCCTTCCTCTTAGGGCAACACAGTGGCTCAGCCGCTAGCACTGCTGCGTCACTGCACCAGGGACCCGGGTTCAATTCCAGACCTCAGGCAACTGTAAATGTGGAATTTGCATGTTCTTACTGTGTCTGTATGGGTTTCATTCAGATGCTCTGGTTTCCTCCAACAGTCCAAAGATGTGCAGGTTAGGTGGATTGGCCACAGGAAATGCAGGGTTAGGGTAGGGGGGCTGGGTCTGGATGTGATGCTCTTTGGAGAGTTGGTGTGGAGTCAATGGGCCAAGTGGCCTGGCTTCCACACTGTAGGGCACTTTATGATTCTTCACTTAACAGTACGGGATTTGAATAGACACTGTTTCTGCTGCCACAAATGTTACTTTGGCCATTGGTTTATACAAAAGCCAATTTACGTTAAGGGAAAATATCAACGATCAACTTCTCCTAAAAAGAGCAGCCTATCCTTATAATCCTCTGTTTAATTGGAGGATAATACATCTTGTCCAGAATAAGAAATGCTTGTTGATCATGACAGATTTCTTCTTCAGTGGTCTCTATAACACAATTCTCTGTTTTGTTCTTTTCCTTTCATTGATGGATGACTTAAATCAAAAAGCAGGTGTGCTACACAAAGGTAGAACTAGGTTTGTGGGTTACAAATCTCCATTGAGTTTATTGTGAAAAATTGCCAAGCAAACGATAAGTACTTACTCACAAACAAAGGTGGGGCAAAAATACAGACCTTACCAAAAGAATAAAAATGCTTTGAAAATTCTGATTTCAGACTTAAGGGTCCTGTTGGTGGACCAGTGGATTGAGACTGGAGGCACAATGGAAGCTGCAATTGCACTCATTGAAGAACAAGGTGGAACTATAGCAGGTATGGGAGTAAAAAAGTAAATTTTTAAAATTCTGTTCGCACCATTCTGCTGTTGCAATCAGACAACAAACATCGCTGTCAGAGAAGTGAGGGAGGGCCATTTGGCTCATCCTTGTTGAAGGGGGATATGAAACTTCGCCTTCCCCAGCACCATGAAGATGTCCAATTTTGTTCTAACATTGTTAAGCAGATAGAATGATTCTTTCAGCCACCCTAACAACATTCCATCCAAGGCAACATCTCATCCATATATTTTCCGTTCTAAAACAAAAACAGAAGTTGCTGGAAAAGCCAGGCTGAGAGACTGCCAGACGCTGCTGAGAGACCGGGCCAAGACACCACCACGCCAGGCTGAGAGACTGCCAGACGCTGCTGAGAGACCGGGCCGAGACACCACCACGCCAGGCTGAGAGACTGCCAGACGCTGCTGAGAGACCGGGCCGAGATACCACCACACCAGGCTGAGAGACTGCCAGATGCTGCTGAGAGACCAGGCCAAGAGGACACCTCACCAGGTCTGCTCTGAGTCCGGGAGCGAAGAAAAAAAATCACCATGAGAAAGAGAAAAGAAACAGATCTTATTCACAACTTATCAACCTGTGAGGGAAGGCGAGCAGTCCAGCTTTGATAAAGTGGACTGCTGTCCAATAAGAACATGGATTAGGTCTTTTGGGAATTGGTCCCCTGTGCTAACTGGGGGAAAACCCCATCTATGCACCACATGTACCCCTTCCTCACTGGCCTCTCTAACCCAACCCACTTATCTTGATGGGATTTCGCAGCTGTTCCCTCCCAAATCCCCAGATTTGCCCTGAAGTCCAGGAGATTTCTTCACTTCTTCCTTGGGTCCCTTTGTAGTCCCACTGTGGTCTTCTTCCAATCGGGTTGAGTGGCAGCTCTCAAGAGTGGGACTTCCTGTCCTTGAGGACATATGTCTTCCTTTGCACTGATGAAGACCACTCCAAATTATCACTGATTTCATTTTGATGAGGCGTCGACAAAGTTTTAATTTGTGTTAGGCGAAATCCACCCAACCAAAATGGACACCAGGATTCTGGGAGAATGACAGCTACAATCCGATAGTTCTTCATAGTCCTTGTTTATCTTAATGTTTAGGAGCCAGGGATTGATAATAAAGTAGGAAAAAGAGAACAAAGGAAACAGCATAAGAGTACAAAAGAAAGAGCTGTGTGAAGAACATGTTTAATCTTGCAGACATTATTGAATCATTAAAATAAGAACTGTTCTCCCACATTTTTCAACCAAATTGTTGAAATGAAGAGTAATTGTCCAATCATGGATGCTTACAGGATCTCACTATTAACTAAACCCAATGCAAACTGCTGAACAACTAGTTATTACACTTCTTGAAGGGAAAGTGAATGTATGAGCTTTATTTGGGGTTGAGTTCATTCAGAGACTACATGGCTCCATGCCTGATGATGGAATGAAAATATCCAACTACAGCAAGCTCAAAGTTCCAAACCATGATCCTGGCATGTTCACAGGTGACCAGAGTGCTATTAGTTGGCCAGCTTGACTCATTAGTATGATCTGATGCATAGAAATATTACTGGGAACTGGGATTTGTAATACTCAGCTTCAAATACCCTAGCAAGCTATTGTGCTGCTAAATAGATGTCCTGTCTGGACAAATAGCAGAAAGCTTACCAGTGTTACGTTTGGGTAGGAGACAAAGTTTTGACTGAGGAGGGGTAGGTGAAACTGCATCCTCTTTTTGCAATCTTTCTCTTCTGTGTATTGTACTATTCTTTCTTCCCTTTATAGGCATTGCGACAATCTGCATTGAGGACAGCGAAGGAGGCAAGCGAATTAAAGAGAAATATAAATGTTCAACCTGTGTCCCTGATCACTTGCAGCCACAATTCAATAATAAATACCTGGAGACCTTCAAAGCCTTTGAAACAAAGATTCCAGATGTGCAAAATAAATCTGAGTGAAGCATCATTTGTCTCCTGACGTTTCATTTTTTAAATTGATCTGTGCACATCAGAAATAGTAGTGAGAAATGCAATTTTTTAGGGAGAGACAGGAGTCAATTGGTAACTTTATGCCATGCAAATAAGGGTGGTGGACTGGTACCTGAGGCAGAAGCACAGGAGATTAAAGCTAACTCCAGTGGAAGTTGGCAGACTCCACTGTGAGGCCAGTGAGAGCACTGCTGGGTGTTGTAACATCAGGGTTGTATCTGGTTGTACTGGAGAGAAGAGATTCTACAGCCATTTACCTGAATTTAGTCTTTACAAGAAGGATAAGAGAGGCTTAAATCGGACACCACCAGAATTTTATGCTTATATTCCAGTTTCATGTGATCTAAAATAATCTGAAATAAGTGGTGGTGCAGTTTAGCTGTTAACATATATTTATTAATCCTATAAACTACACCTCCCTGAAGTTTTTAACTTTGGTCCATAAACTATTTAATTTTTTATCCTATTCTTACTCCCACCATCAGTCTCTATCATCAAAGGAAACATTCTCCAATTGTGTACATAGCAAGAACTGCAGATGCTGGAATCAGAGATAACACAGTGTGGAGCTGGAGGAAGACAGCAGGCCAGGCAGCAGCCAACCCGGAACATCAACTTTCCAGCTCCTCTGATGCTGCCTGCTGTGTTCCTCCAGCTCCACACTGTGTTGTCTCATTCTCCAATAGTGTTCGTGGTTCATTTTGAGGAAATGAGGGATGCACGCATTGCAATATTTTCTCTTTGGGGGAAGGGCAAGGAAATGGACATGAGGAGTGTCGGATCAGTGATGATCCTATTGAATGTTGCAGCAGGCCTGAAGGACCAAATGGCCTACTCCTGTTCCTATTTCTCATGGTCTTAACCCTGCAGCTGACGGATAATGTTTAGCACATTCTGATCAGAAATGGAGCTCATGTTTTTCTTTTCTCATTTTACTTGATTTGCCTCTAAACCTGTTACAAAGTTCTCACGTTGTACAGACCTCAGGCTGTAAAGTAGTTTCACTCTTGAAGAGATGGCTTTTAAAACAGCGAATATATTTTTATTGAAGGAACATATACCATTCTACTGTAAAGTAAAATAAAAAACAATCTGAACATAAAACTGTGACTTCTAAAATATTATGATCACCAAAATGAGTAGACACAGAGAAGAAATGATTTATCAATCTTGGTAACCACAAAGATGAAGGAAACAACTGTGTTCCTATCAAGAGGCTTGCATATAATACTGTGTAAGGTCATCATAGAAATAATCATTGTCCCCTTCACTCTCTTTACCTCAACTGTGGATTAATGACTTTGGGTTTTCATATGGTTGGATTCAATTCCCAAGTCCTTACTCCCTTCACAATAGCAAGCAAATCTAAACTGCACTAAAATTCACTTTAGTGATGAATACAATAAGTTTGCATGAAATCCCATTGTCTTTAACTCATTTTGAATGGATTCATTACAGATGTCAGATAGCATGACTTCAACATTTCTCTATCTGTGGCACTTTCAAAATCAGTTGGCTAACTTATCAATATCCTTACCATTAATCATTCCCATATATTAATCTTCCTAAATGACCAATCAATTAAAAGTGTAAATCAAAACAATAGGTTTGTCCAAACGTTTAATCTCTAAATTTATATGTAATCTGGAGAAAGAATTTATCCCACAATATTGTAAACACTCATATCATAAAGAAAGGTTGTTGAGGCTATTTTGAGGAATGACCCCACTATGTGGTAAATATTAACTGTTGGCGGGGGCAGGCTGGGGAGGTTGGGATAAACTACCCATCACACAACTCATCTAATTGTCCTTCCCATCCAAGGAAGTCAATGAGGAGGAAAATCAAGTGGGTGTGTAAAACAGGATTACAGGAAGGAAGCTGTTTTCTGACCTCATTCTCACCTGACCCCCAAAGTTAAAATCCGTCCATATCCAACAAGTAAATTTCTGAGATCTACCTGATTCAGTTGTAAGAATGTCTTGTTTGTTGGTTGATAGGTTAAAATACATGATATATTTTCTTCAGAATTTAAGTTAAAACATACTTTGGATAAACTTATATTATAAATCAAGGAAGTTTAGGGCCATGAAATTTCTTTTAAATTTTTTCACAACATACTATCAAAGAAAGTTTGCTGTTACTCAGATTTATCCAGAGGTCATATAGAAGAGCCTATTTTTTCACTTCCTCAAGGCATTCCAAAGAATGTAAGATCTAACAAATGGCTTTTATCCAGGCAAACAATTTGGCTGGGTGAGGGCTGCTGGTTAGAAGGCCACAAAAACTTGGCTATTTGGGAAAAGATCATTGCAGCAGTCACATAAAGCAAAGGGGTTAAAATATTAAAAAAAAATAAAATGCTAGCATCTACATAGTACCTTTCATGGAACCAGGGTTATTGCAAAATAACTCATAACCAAAAAGGCAGAAACATGTCTCAATAATCCCAAAGAAGAAAGAAATGAAGGTAACATTCTTTATGAGTTATAGTTCTCTAACAATTTGGGCATCACTTTTTGTTGTAAGTCAAAGAAATAAGGATTTGGAATGTATAATGGAACAGAGTTCTTAACTTGATGTGCAAGAAGAACTTTGAACAACATTATATTGCCACCAGTACATAGAATGATAGTGATGCTGACAATAGGGAGGCCCAGTTAGTCCCTGGGAGCAGGGAAACGTTGTTCACAACCAGCAAGGGAATGGGGTGCAGGATTTTGTTGTGGTGTGGAGGCAGGGGACATTTCCAGAGGAGTCTATAAAATGACACACCCAGGTTTCTCATCTTTGCTACGACTCAGAAATCCTGTGGCCTGGAAAAGGCCTAGGGAAAACTCCTCACAAAACTTGGTTGGGAGCAGTGGGGTGGGAGGGGAAAGGGTAACGAACGGGCAATTGCACTTATTTGCCTGAAAGAATGCCTCACCGATGGCAATGTCTGTCCTTGTAAGAAGTTCCCTGCCTGTCCTTTCAAGTGACATCCTCAACCCTTCATAAACCTCTCCTCACCGAGACCTCCTGGTCATCTCACCTCAGCCTTCCTCCAGGGCTCCTACTCTTGGGTCCTACTGTAGTACTGGCTGTGACCACCACTTCCACTGGCAATACAGAGCTGATGGCCTCTAATTGGCAGGCAGCTTACAGAGATTGGAAATTACCTCAAAGATACCAAGGACTCCGTCACCAACCAGTAAAGTTCCTGACTGATATTAATCGAGTCTGGCAGAGGTGGGGGCCCTGAAATGGTTGCAGGGAGATTGCCACCAGCTCTCTGGCCTGTAATGAGCTCACTGTTGCTTCTATTAAATTCCATTCCTTAAATTTGGGATACATAATTTATGAAGCTACAATGCCAGTACGCTAGATCATAAGGCCATGTCAAACTTGATTATCTTTGAATAACCTGTATAGAAAGAATAATACTATATTGGAGTATTTTCAACCAATTGCACTTATCCCCTTTACAAATATGAATTGTTCTGTTTATCCTCTTCTGAAAAACTGTAGTCTCTACGGCTTCTATTGCTGGACTGCAACATTTCACAGACAATTTAAAATTTAGTCGAACTCAGCACCTTAGAAGTCACCAGGTTGTTTGCTCAAATACCACTTTCCATTTTAGAAGATCTGGTGAGAGAAGGGAGGTTGGTTTATGTGAGCACTTTACTCTATAAGAAGTGTCAAGCATCACTGGCAAGATAGCAGTTATTTTCCATCCCTGGTTGCCCTTGAGAAGATGGCAGCGATACACTTTCTTGAACCTCTTCAGTCCAACTGGTGTAGGTACAATCACAGTGCTGTTAGGGACAGGGTTCCAGGATGTTGATCCAGCAAATGTAAAGGAATGATGATATAGTTCTAAGTCAGGATGGTGTCTGGTTGGAGGGGAGCTTTCAGTTGGTGGTGCTCACATGCATCAACTTGTCGTAGGTGATAGAGGTTACACGTTTGCTCTCAAATGAGCCTCGAAGGGCTCCTATGGTCCATAAACTAGAGAGTACACACCGCTGCTAAGGCACATTAGCAGTGGAAGGAGTGAGTATTTAAGGTGGTGGATGGGAGGCCAATCAGGCAAACTGTTTTGTTCAGGATGGTAGCAAGCTTCTTGAATTAATTGGAAAACACTGAGTACTGCACAGAGATAGCAAGAACTGCAGATGCTGGAGTCAGAGATAACAAAGTGTGGAGCTGGTGGAACGCAGCAGGCCAGGCAGCATCAGAGGAACAGGAAAGTTGACGTTTTGAAGAACAGTACTGCACAGAGTTCTGCTTATTGCGTTAAACAGGATCGCACTAGAAGGAACGGAGATGAGTGACAAGCCTGTTGTCAGGAACAGGGAATTTTAGCTACGAGGGAAAAATGGATAGGTTGGAGTTCTCTTCTGTGGAACAAGAGGAACCTGGCGGGAAATTTAATTGAGATGTACAAAATTATGACCGAACTTATGTTTAGTTAGGTAACAGTGTTAAAGGTTAAGGAGCATTGGTGGGTCATGGAGCCACGATCTAAATGAATGACTTACCAGTTTGAGGAGATCAATGGCCTATTGCTGTTATAGCAGCAAATTTTCAGGCAGCTCTTCCTGGGTAGTGGATGAACATAGCAGGTATCTAGTGAAGTGTATTGGTTTATGTTTTAGAACAGCCATAATTTGATGGGACATGTCAAGTGAACCGTTTGGTCATATCTGCTTATTCTGCTGCAGAGCCTAAAAAGATCAGCAAGAAAGTTTCCAGTGCTACCTGACTAGATTTCTCTGAGAAGGATCAGGACTTGGCTAAAGGTTACAGCCAACCTTCTCTGATTCTTCAACTGAAAATCAACTACTAACAAAGCTTTAGGGTCTTTTTCATTGTGGCATCCTTCCAAATGGATATCTGGTTCTTGTGGGAGCAAGAAAATAAGTTGGAAGGGTCAGAATGCCCTTGCATCTGGGCTACAGTCCAACTCTGCCTGTTTTGAGAGAGTCCCAAACTTCCTGGGGCTTTGTCAAGGGGCAGAGACCTGTAACATTGGTCTCCACCTGTGTAACTACAGCATGTATCTTCTGGTTGCTTGCACAGGTAAAATATTCCTTTTGTCCACTGCAGGGGAAATCAGCAAACAGTGGTGTCACTATATGCTTTCCTTTATACTTTGAAACTTGGACTTAATCTATAAAGTTAGGTGTCATAAAAGGATAGAACTTAGGACACAGAAGGGAAATATCTTGCATTTTGTGTTGATAATGAAGCAGTTGAATCACTTCAAAATTATATACATAATAATTATATTGGTATATTAACATGTATTGCTAGCAGGGTTAATGGTCCTGGTGTTCAAGTACACGCAACTATGTCCTAACATGGTAGATAGCAAGAATTGCAGATGCTGGACGTCAGAGTCAATACAGTATGGAGCTGGAGGAACACAGCAGGTCAAGCAACATCAGGGGAGCAGGAAAGTTGACAGTTCAGGTTTATACCCTTCATCAGGACTATGATGAACAGTCCTGATGAAGGGTATAAACCCGAAACATCAACTTTTCTGCTCCTCTGATGCTGTCTGACCTGCTGTGTTCCTCCAGCTCCACACTATCCTAACATGGCAACAATGTCTCCTTAACACATAAACACTCCAACTCTGCAGTTCCTCACATCAGCACTGAGTACATACAAACATGACAAAACTTTGGTTCAGCTATAGAATTGGGAATACAGTATCGTTGATGACGCTCCTTCGTGCAATCTTGCAGAGTCTTCTTGTACTGTCAAATACGGTATTTTCCTGGTCCTGCACCTGGGGCTATGGATTACTCAGTAGAGACAAATGCAGAAAAATCAGCATGTAAGAGAGACCATCCATTTTTCTCTCTAATATTGTAAATGATTATCAATTGAATGAACTCATTTAAGAATCTGTGAGACTCAATGCCCAGTTTTCCACATCTTGTTATGCACCATATATAAAACCAGGAAAACCCCCAAGAGGAATTTTGGTGGGTACCTTGTTCTAGTTTCCGTCTCAGACATTTGCTCTTTATTTTTGTCCTAAGTCAGCAGTGTGAGGCACAAAATCTTCAACAATGTTTTTCTTCCTGGTTACAACAGAGTTCAACCCAATTGACATCAAAGTGAGCTTCAGTTCATGGGAATGTTACCTTTTTCCATTGATGATTATGACATGTTGCAGGATTGAAATACATGGGAAAGGCTTGACAGCAGTATTTGCAAATGGACAGGGTTCCTTGCTGGGCATATCGCCTGAATGACATTTCTCTTTAATCTCTTAACATTGATATGCATTATAAAGGCAATCGTAAGTGGCTGGTGACATTTTGTTGATGTGAGAAAACTTTGGTTAAAAATGAACGCAGTGCAACATGTAACCTGTTAGAATGGCAGTGCGGCTCTCTGTCATTGACAGCAATTAGGCTTGGATTTCTTTGCATTTTTAAACAGGTTTGTGTCATTGCTGTTGATGCCTGTGGAGAAAGAAAGTATTGTTAAAAAGGTAAACTCATAAGGTTGTACATTCTGGCTGATAATACTTTATGACAAAAACAAATTCAGAATGAACAACTTTACAACCTGCCCTTTTCTGTACCTCGATTCAATTTTCTCTACTCAACTAATGACATCAAGGTCTATTTTAAGCAATGTCACCAGGCATGGAAATGCTATTATGTCAATTGATAGCACATTTACCCTGGCATATTGGCTGCCAAGTTGGATAGTATCCTGATTTGCTCCAGCTAGGATATCACTTGTAATCTTTATACGCACGGCCCCAATTACTACTACTAAAAGAGCAATGAGATACCCAATGAAAGCATACACTACCAATGCCAACTGATGAAGATGCAACTTCGAGTGTAACACAGTTTGGTGAGCAAGTAGCTGTGACAGATTCCAAACTGACGTTAGATGCTGAAGTGATTCAGAAGAGGCAACTTCAAGCAGAACATATAACTTCTTTATTATTCCAGCAAGAGTCTTTAATCACTGAGACAGAGATCTTGCGATAAAGCGAACTCTGAACAGCAGAAATAATGCAACTGCTGCCGATGACTAAAGGATTGAAAACCAATCAACAAGTTGAAGTAAAACATTTACATGCTTCAGCACAAATCTACAGGCAGATCGAGAATAAGAATCGGCTGATCAAAGACCTGGTGCATTCAACTTCATGGAAGTTACCACTGAGAAGAGACAACCAATATCCAATGAATGAAGACACTGCGAGGAAGGAGCTGCCTGTTTCAGAGTCTCAAGTACTGCAGAGAAGCAGTCGCCCATTTGACAAAGACATTCTCCACGAAGGGAATCTAAGAGATTAAATTGGCTCAAGTTTAAAGGGGCCTACAAACATCTAGACTGTAAGGAAGACAATCAAAGACAGGGAGAGCAAATACATCACTTGCTAACTCTGGTGACAGACAGATACACACACACACACAAGCACACGCACACGCACACAGTTAAAAAGTGAATAGTTTCCATTACAAAAAAGGATGATTTTTATAAAATGCAAAATTCTTAAGAGTTCTTAGGGTGTCCTGTAGGTGTAAGCTTTAATCTGAGACCACAGTTGATCAGTGGCGTGTTGGATCAACATTAGCTGTAAATATTTCTCCTATCTACTGAGTTTTATCCTTTCTGAGAGACAGGAAGAGAGAGAAAGTAAGGAAGGAAAGAAAGAAAGAGATACAAGGAGACAAAGAGAGACAGAGAAACAAACAGCGACAGAGAGAGACAGAGTCAGGGAGAGACAGACAGAGACAGAGTGAGAGATTTTTCCAGTTCTGGTCACAAGCTCATCTCCTCTGCTTTGCTGGAAACAATTCCTTGAGATATATGTTATTCATGTATCCCCACATCTGTGTGCATTGTCTTCAAGCTGCATATTTGTAAGTAATGGTCTTTCATCACTAGTATGACTCTTATCATAAAGGTGTAAATCAAACAGGAGATACAGCTTTCTTCATGCCTGACTGGTTTCAGTCTCTTTTGATAAAAATATTAATTTCACTTCTGAATGGTTCTTGTTTAATGCCAGTTTCATGAAGCTTGGCTCGACCTGTCGTCAAGTGTTTACTGTGGTCGTGTTTAAGGCTGTGATTCTTAGCCTTCCGAAACCATTTCGAAAGTCCAGTGTTAAAATCAGATAATGGAAGTTGATAATCCATAATTTATCATTTTTGTCACAGCAGTGTAGTGAAGACTATGTAGTTGAGAATGACATCTCACTGAAGGATGTTGGAGAATGTTGAAGAATGCTTCCATGCCCATCTAGATAGATATTTTAAATAGTTTTCTCTATGTTTTCCTTTTGCTGTCAGTAGGCGAATACACATTTTCAGTTGACAGGGTAGTTCGGGAACATGTTTGGGGGTGCATAACGTCCAGATGAAATTGACGGCTGACTTTATTTGGTTTTGGAAAGATTCACATCTCGCTGTTTCGGGAGAAATCTTATCTTCTAAAATACATATTTGAAACCATTTCTCTGTATCCCCAAAGGGATGGCTTATCACTGCTGCTGCCATTACAACCTCGAGAAGCTGAATAGCTACTACAGAATAGGAATGACATTGTACTTTATTAATGGTCATACTTACGAACAACATCCCCAATCTTCCTGGGGCCAGTCTTTTCTAGCTCAGCCAGTACATTAGCTTCGAAGGTCAACGATGCAACCCTGAAGAAGAACTCTTTTACATTCGCTCCTAATGTCAATGAAGAACAACACATTAGCATTCAGTTGACATGCTATAGCGCATTTTACTGGTACAGTTTGTTGTTCAGAATCATAACTTGCTTCCAAACACAGCAGTGCAAAAATGTGCATGTCAACACTATGATGTAGTGCTGCACATATACAAGCACAGTGGGGAACTGCCAAATAAAGAAGTTTAGCCACTTGGCCCTTAAAGCAGGAGAAACAAGGAAGACCAAATTCCCTTAGTTTCTCACACAACTTTTAATGCATAGATCCATAGTTTCTTTGGAAACTGCCTGAGTGACATAATTATGCGTAGTCCAGGGAGGCTGTGCAGATGATAGAAAATTTAAATACCCAAGCATTGTAACTGTCAACAATGGAATGTAGCCAAAGTCCCACTCCCTCATTAGAGAGAAACAGTTGGTGGTGAGTTTAACTTGAGGGTCACCAGGCCTCAGGTGAGGGATGAAGTTAAGAAGGCAGTACCTTCACAGCAAATCCTAGCTAGCGCAGGAATTGAACCCGTGCTGTTAGCATCATTCTGCATTGCAAATCAGCCGTCCATCCAACTGAACGAACTGACTCTAAGTTCTAACCTTGAAACATTGTGTCTGAAGTGCAAGTCAAAATATACTGCAGTTCATTGGCTACACTTTAAATATTAACATGGTAAAGGTGAGTAACAAGGAAATGAAAAGGATACGCAATTTTAATTTTGAAAAACTCACAAAATAGTAACAGATTGTTGAATCGGTTGGCTGCATTTTGTGAGGAAATCCATTAATACAACATTTAACAAAAACAAAGTTGCTGGCAAAGCTCAGCAGGTCTGGCAGCATCTGTGGAGGAGAAA